CCAGGAGCTTCCATGCCCTCCCTGGGCACGCCACCCTCCAGGAGCTTGCAGGTGTTCGGCTGCTTGAAAGCTTGCAGACCTCTTTACACTCTCAATTGTTGAAGATCCCAAAAGGGTTTTGTTTTGGGGGAGTGATAGCTATTAATATATATCATATCAGATACTAAAATTGAGAAATGTTTAAGATATTTATTAGCCTAAAAACAATAAACAATAGCCGGATGCAGTGGCTCACTCCTGTAATCCCAGCACTTTGGGAGGCCAAGGCAGGCAGATCACCTGAGGTCGGGAGTTCAAGACCAGCCTGACTAACATGGAGAAACCCCATCTTTACTAAAAATACAAAATTAGCCAGGCGTGGTGGCACATGCCTGCAATCCCAGCTACTCGGGAGGCTGAGGCAGGGGAATAGCTTAAACCCAGGAGGCAGAGGTTGAGGTGAGCTGAGATCGTGCCACTGCACTCCAGCCTGGGCAAAAAGAGCGAAACTCCGTCTCAAAATAAACAAATAAATAAGTAAAAATAAAAATAAACCCATTACATGTTAATAGAAACACTTTTATTAAAAATTTTTTCTTAAAAAAAGCCAAAAAGAGTGACATCGTTTTACATTTTTTGCAAATCTCTTTAATGTCTTTAATGTCTGGCCTAATAGGAGGCAGCTGGATTCTTCTTCTATCCCTGTATTGGATCTGTTGTGATACGCTGTTTTGGTTGAAGTATATGAAGAAAATTCTGCCTCACTGACATGTAGTTAGAAAAGGAAGGAATATCTTTAATAGCCTTTCCAAGTAATTATAGATCTTTGCCACTACACCAAAATATGACAAATGATAGTTTCTCAAAGGTTAGTTGCAACGTGGAATCTAAAACTGTATCAGGCCAGGAGCGGTGGTTCACGCTTGTAATCCCAGCACTTTGGGAGGCCAAGGTGAACAGATCACCTTGAGGTCAGGAGTTCAATATCAGCCTGGCCAACATGGTGAAACCCTGTCTCTACTAAAAATACAAAAATGATTAGCCTGGCATGGTGGCAGGTACCTGTAATCCCAGCTACTCCAGAGGCTGAGGCTGCAGTGAGCCGACATCACGCCACTGCACTCCAGCCTGGGCCACAGAGCAAGACTCCATCTCTAAATAAATGAAAAAATAAAAATAAAACCCTGTCAATGAACTTTTCACTGAACTACCTTGCATTTTGAATTTTGTAACATCAAGCACCGGTCATTGGAAAATACTGGTTTACTGAGTTATGAGGATCTTCCAAATGGTGACACATTTTATTTTATTACTTTTTTCAGACAGAGTCTCACTCTGCCACCCAGGCTGGAGTGCAGTGGTGCAATCTCAGCTCACTGCAACCTCCTTCCAGGTTCAAGCGATTCTCCTGCCTCAGCCTCCTGAGTAGCTGGGATTAGAGGCATGTGCTACTGTACCTGGCTAATTTGTGTATTTTTAGTAGAGATGGGGTTTCACCACCATGTTGGCCAGGCTGGTCTCCCACTCCTGACCTGAAGTTGGTTTCCTAGAGCGCTGGGATTACAGGCATAAGCTTCCACGCGTGGCCCACATTTTATTATACAATACCAAAAATCATACTAACTTCACTACTGACCTCATCAGAAAAATTTTAAGTCCCAGCAAGTGGTCAGGCTCTAGGAAGTGAATAAAAGGTTTCCCAAAAATTCTCATTTTCACTCAAAAGCTCAAATTTTATCATGGGCAACAAATATTTTATTAATTAATTTTTTAAAAATAAATGTAAAGACGAGGTCTCACTATATTGCCCAAGCTGATCTTGAACTCCTGGGCTTAAGTGACTCTCCCGCCTTGGACACCCAAAGTGGTAGGATTATAGGTATGAACCATGGTGGCCTGTGCCTGGCAACAAATGGTGATACTGTTTTTGAGGTGACAAGCTCATGTCATTCATTTTTGAGAAAATGTCTGCCAAATACCGACATCTAACTAGTTTGCCTATCAGCTGTCCAAGTACAAACGGTGTTCTCAAAAAAAGCAACTAGCACAGCTTACAACTCCACCAAGTAAGAGCTTTTCCTCATCACAGTTAGGTTTGTAGCAAAGGTGCTTCATGTGTATTTCATATTCCTTCACGCAAAATATCAGAAGGGATAGGTATGCAAGGGTCTAGACTTTCTAAAATTAATGATCTTCACTACGTTTAAAGAAGTGTGCGCGTGGAGTAAGGACTCTGATGCTGGAGCCGCTGTTCTGATTCGTGCTGAGGGGCCAGCAGTTTCACCCACCACAGCTTTTGCACCATGGGCACAAGTGTTAGCAAACAAAAAAAAAAAAAAAAAAAAAAGGCAGGAAGCAGGGTAGCTCTAAAAGTGTGATGAAAATAGTTCAGACTTCATCAACTCCCTGAAATGGGGCAGGGCACCCCTAGGACCATGCTTTGAGACCACTGATTTGGAGTGAATCTACCTCCTCCGCCCAGCAGATGTAGTTCCCGCGCTGTGGCCAACAGCCTCCTGTGGTGTGACACAAAGCCTTGGTTCTAACCAAGCCAACCTATTCTCCATCCCCCAATCCGGCTGTGTCCGGCTCACTGTGCCGCCGCACCTGGCACACCGTCTGCCCGGAATACTGGTCTCCCTCTCCACCTGACAGCAGCTGCCTGCTCACAGCCAACGACACGCCTCTCCCGCTGACAGCTACACACTGCCCATTTGGCTCCCTGCCACAGAGCCCTGGGAGGCCTGCTTCTTTCAGTCCACATGCCTTGCTCCTCCACCAGACCACGAGCTCCTGCGGGGCTGGGGCCTGGTCTAGCGCATCTGGGCAGGCCCAGTATGGTGCCTGGCAGTGAGTCCAGTGTTTACTGCTGATCAGCGCAGGAGGAAAGAACAGGGAATCCCCTGGGGGAGGGGCCGGCACCTTTAGGGAAGAGAAGGGCTTCTTCTACTTTGGGTAACTGCATCCAAGGGCTGACCACAGGCTCCAGCTGGCTCAGACCACTTCTCTTTGTTGGGTACAAGGGGATGTCAACCGCCTTGGTTTGGGTGGCCACCTTCCTCTCCTCTCTGGAAGACCCCAAGAGTGACACCTGGAGGCCACTTTCTGGGCTGGATGCCACCGCCCGCTCCATGTCCTCCATGGATTTCCTCACGAAACCTAGACAGTAGGTTTGATGACGTGAAGTCACAAAGAGAGGGTGGTGGGCAAGGGAAGGGGAGGAGGGGCTCTCCCAGAGGCCTGGGGGCTGGCTGGGACCCTGAGTGGGCCTGAGCTCCTTGGTGAAACACCCACGGTCTCTTCCTTCAACATCCTGAGTCCCTGACTCAGCCCCTGCTAGGCCTCAGAGAGATGTCTGTGCAATGAATGACCAACTCATTCCTTCAGAGCCTCCCTCCAAGCCATACTCCTGCTACCACCAGAATGCATCCCAAAGCACCCAGCCACCCTTTACTGACTCTCCTGTCAGCTGAGCAAAACGCAAAGACCTGGGGCTGCCAGTCAACAGGCCTCCCAGTCTCCTCTCTTTCATTTTTTTTTTTTTTTTTTAAAAGACGGGGTTTCACCATGTTGGTCAGGCTGGTCTTGAACTCCCAACCCTAGGTGATCCGCCCACCTTGGCCTGCAAAGTGCTTGGATTACAGGCGTGAGAGCTACTATGTCTGGCCTCTCTTTCATATTTTCAGTGCTGTATTTGACATTTACATAACTCACTCCACCAGATACTGTTCTAAGTGTTTTACACATATTAAGCTATAAATCCTCCTAAGAATTGTAGGTATTGGGCCGGGCGCGGTGGCTCACGCCTGTAATCCCAGCACTTTGGGAGGCCGAGGCGGGTGGATCACGAGGTCAAGAGATCAAGACCATCCTGGTCAACATGGTGAAACCCCGTCTCTACTAAAAATACAAAAATTAGCTGGGCATGGTGATGCACGCCTGTAGTCCCAGCTACTCGGGAGGCTGAGGCAGGAGAATTGCCTGAACCCAGGAGGCGGAGGTTGCGGTGAGCCGAGATCGCGCCATTGCACTCCAGCCTGGGGAACAAGAGCGAAACTCCGTCTCAAAAAAAAAAAAAAAAAAAGAATTGTAGGTATTGTCCCCATGATCCACATCCTCATATGACAGATGAGGAAACTGAGACACAAAGCGGTGAAGTCACTTGCCAAGGTCGCACTGCTGACATGCGGCAGTGCTGGGCTTTGGACTCAGCAGTCCACAGCACATACCCTCAACCCCTCACACTCCACCCTGGATGCTTCTGGCAAATAAAACAACACGGCTCCCTTTTCCACGTGGCACCAAGTGGCATCCGGTGATCACCCTACCTGGAATGCCACTCCCCTCTCTACTCTGTGAATTCGCCCTCATCATTGTCCTCTCAAACCCTCTGAAACCCTGGACCATCAGCACTAATAAGCAAGACTCCATCCCTGGCCGGGCCGTGCGCCCCAGGGCCTCACAGTGCTTCTAATGGCATCCCCAGAGCATAGAAGTGCCTGGTGTGCTTTGAAGAATGAGTGGAGGGAACAGCGCACAGTCCAGGCTCAGCCTCATGGATCCCGCTGGCAGCACAGCTTAGGCGAGCCAGCTCCCAAGGCCTTCGGGCTGTGCTGGGTGGACAAGTTGCTGGTCTGGGCTGAGCTCTGGTGTCTCAAGAGGCAACACTGAAACTGATCCCTGATGGGAATGCCGATATGTTTCCCTTCCCATCTACCAAAGGGGCCCCTTTGTTACA